GTTCCAGCCCACCGACGCCATTTTGAAAGGGCGCAAAATGCGCACAAAGAAAACAGCTTTCAAACAAATCTAAGATGGCGGCTCCCGGCCACCGCGTTCGCACGTGGCGACGGCACGAATTTCGAACATTTTGGGCCGATTTTTTCCAATTTCACGTCCACCTTGGGTCACATAAGCGCACTTTTTTATTATTTCCCAATAAAATTGAACTTTTAGACTTCGCGGAGGGATTCTTGAATGTTTAAACATCGCGAAAATGCACTTTTCCAAAAATCGACTTTTTTGCTATTTTTTGCCGTTTTAAGACCCGCGTCTCCCCTTAAGCGAGTTCATAAATCGCATGCACGTTAGAATCGAGTACGAACAAAAAATTACGGTCAATCTATTACCATCGGCAAATCCAAAATGGCCGCCCCCTACGTGCGTCGGCATGGTGCGTCGGCCATTTCTGCCTATGTGTTTCCCATGTGCGGCACTTCGTACGTGTACTGAGGAGTTCGTCATCTAGTAATGCATTAGCATCGACGGCGTGGAAGGGCCGACTCCGAAAACTCGAGTGCACCACGGTGCCGCTTTTAAAAGAAAAGTCATCGCGTGTGCAGAAACGGACGGAAATCGGGCCGCATCGCGGTCGTTCGGAGTTCCCGAAACGTGCGTGCGGGACCAGCGGAAACAAAATCAGAAGATTGTCGACAGCAAAGCTTCACGCAAAGGCTTCAGTGTACCACAGCAGGGTCGGTTTCCGCAAATTAAAGAGCTGCTCGGCGAGTATGTGCTTGAGCTCGGCGAGTATGTGCTTGGGCAGCAAGGGGCACAGCGGCCCATGACGACAGAACTGCTCCAAGTGGGGGCAATGCAATTAGTCTTAGAAAAAGGTCTAATGTGGAGCCAGTTTAAAGCAAGCAGGTGCTGGCTAACTAACTTTATGAAGAGGAAAGGCTTTTCCCTTCGAAGGGGAACATGCATATGCGAAAAGTTTTGCGGAGGAGTACGATGAAAAGCTTCACAGTTTTCAGAGGTTCATCCTAAACTTGTGGCGCAACAACGGCTACCTGCTTGGGCAAATCGGGAATGTCGATCAGACGCCTCTTTACGTCGACATGCCTGGCACCACAACCGTCGAGAAGAAGGGGGCAAAGCAAGTTCACGTGCTGACATTGGTCCACGGTAAAACTACAGTGACGGCAAAGCTCTGTTACACGTCAGATGGGCAAAAGCTTTGCCCGTACCTCATATTTAAAATAATGGAAGACGCTCCCGAAAGGAGTCGTTTTTTCGAGTGGTGTGATTGTGCGGGCCAGCGAGAAAAATGGGTGCGCGTTGCAATCGATGTCTTATTATTTTTATTTATTTTTTTTTCCGCGGTGGAAATCGAGGGCGCGGTAGAATCGAGTGAATACGGTACTCCAAAGTGTTCTGCACAGCACTCAGCCCAGCTGTTCGAATTGAGCTGGATTCAACGAAGTTGTACAGTTGCTGCAAAAGTTTTTTTAAATTTACTTATTTATAGAACTGATTTGGCTGCCTGGCATGCTGCTCGGTTGAGCTTGTGTGCCACACAGTGAATTCCTACAGCCTGCAAGCTCTGGGGAGCTGTTAGAGCTTTTTGCTTGTTAATCAACAACTTCACAGCTCCCCTTTTTTTTCTGTCATAACAGGTGCGCCGTCAGTTCTAATTCCGCCAAGGGTACTCAAGAGTAGGCCCTTATTAGTAATAAAATCTGTAACGGCACAAGCAATGTTGGTGGAATTGAGGGTTATTGTTGCTCTTTTGTCACCTTGGTGTAGTTCATTGTTGCCCAGTACATCAGTCATGGTCAAGAATTTAATTCTTAATTCACCACCAAAAATGTACCAGCAGTGTATGACCAGCTGCTCCACAGTTGCGCAGCCGGTCATTTCGTCTAGTGTAAGAGCGTAGTGCCCACTCTGACGAAGTTCGCGTAGGGTTATATCTTCAATAACATCTGACAGGCAGGGGATCGTCTTCTGAATTGATCTCTGGCTACAGTACATAGTGTTCTTACCGGCTGTTATTTGAGCTTTCACACCAAAAAAAAGCAAGCAGAGACAGCAGACTGAGAAGCGGCTCAAAGTTTGTTGTGTGAGGTATCCTGTGTTTGTACAAGTAATACATTCATGCAAATGCTTGGCTCATGGCGTTGCGGGAGACCAGGCACTGCACTTTTTCAAGTGGTGACATGGCAACTTTGCTGTTTGCCTCAAGCGTCATGGCGTCTGACTGGCACTCATCTTGTTTACGAACACTGTTCAGCCGTATTGTTTTGAATGGTTCTTCATTCCATACGGACTTCTGTAAGGGCCTCTTGTTCTATTTTATGCAGAGCTTGTAAAACATCCCACCTTTGCTATTGCCATAAAAAAAAGCCGGGGATGGTCACATATTCAAGATGTGTTGAGTGCTGCCTGCTTGCCAACTTCGCAAGCATTTGGCTCATCACACATTACTTTAACGCTTACGCTTGAACTGCAGCCACCATGCGCACTGGATTTAAGTCCCTGCAACACAGGCGATGCCAGGGGTTCAACAGCATCCGCATCTGGTACTTCCTGCTGCATAAATTGTTGTTGCGAATTACTACTAGTCACCTCTTCCATGACTTTTCAAGAAAAAACAAAACGACAACAAAGACTGCTGCACCACCTTTCTTCTTGCAGCCATTTCCCACGCACTGAATGAACCAGTTGAATAGACTGAACACTGAACAACTACGAATTCTGCGAGGCTTCTGCAGGCTTTTGTTAGCACACTCAGAGAACATCGAGGACATCTACCACTTTGTTTGCTTAGATTGGATTTACAGGGCGGGAAGGTAATTTGGAGTGTTCAGTGGCACCACACCACGAATATTTTTTAACATGTACATACTATGAGCATCTAGGCTCTGTACTAGTGATAATGTTGCGCAAATAAGAAAATGCAGCTTCTTGAGATAACAATACATAAAGTTGAGGAAGAAATCAGTGACAACGTTGCCAATAGAAGCCCTCAACGACGAGAAAATAACTCTCGCGAGCAGTATGATCGGAATCGGTACGCCGATTGCTATTTTTCTGTGGCTATGCAGCCAAGCCTAGGCAGGAAAGGGAGGAGATTTGTCACTCTTTACCGTATCACCACTGTGTGCTCTCAGCTTCTGTTATCTTGCGATAAGTGCGTTCTTTGACCGTCACTTTTCTCTGCAGTCGCTGACAGGTTCGCTCATTCAATGTTTCCTTCCTGTTCTGCGTTTGTGGTTGGCGGCTTGCGGAAGCCAGTGTCTCGCGCTTGTAGCTTCCAGTTTTTACCGAGTACAGCAAGCTTGAACATTGGGAGGTGGGCGGTGGTGGACGGCCGGCTGAAGAGGAGGACGGCAAAATTGCCGCTGACTACCGTGCGGAGAACTCTGAATGCCACAAAAAATTCTCAAAGTGTTGTTACAGTTGGAGTTCACCCCTCATATGGAGAACGCTTTTCTGAATGAGATCCTGTGGTATCTGTGTTGCTCGCTCTTTGTTTTTGTCGCCATAAGCGAATGCATGGAGTGGCTCCTGACGACGGTCAGCTTTGTTGTCATTTTCATTTTTGCGGACAATTGATCACTACCAAAAATAGGTCAGATTAAAATGCTGGTGGACACTCCGATACCGCGGTGACGTCAGACCCTACGAAGATTGACCCATTCTGCATTTTGCCGTTTGCGCTCCGCTGCGGGTTCGCTAGACGGTGAACCTTGTGATTAGCTTCGGAAATGTGATAGCACATAGGAGGCCAGGGCTAGACAGTGACGGGGCAGCATAGTATTGACGTCGTAGCACATAGCTCATGTGCATGCATAAACAGGAAGGGTCTCAAGACTGAACGACGTACACTGTCGTTCTTTATGCAACGAAACACTCAAGTGTATAGTTTGTGCGCTGTGGTCACTGCCTACAGCATTATCAACCAACAGCCAAAGAAAGCACATCGGCTTTTGAGGAGTACAAACAAAATAATGAGTCATTGCTGTTGGACAAATGCTACTAGGTAACACTGCGGTATGATCACAGGCAGTGCCGCCAAAAGCAGACACGCCTTCTTCAGGTGTTAGTTGATAGTGCTGTAGGCAACCACTGCAGTGTGCAGGCCACACGCAGCGGCTTCCCTTTCATGAAAGTGTTCCCTTTCATTAAGGACGACAGTGGACATGTGTGCAGGCCTCACTTCATAACAGGCAAGCTATGTTTTCAAATCTCGTGCAAATTGTTTCACCCACAACATGCGACTCCATGAACTCTGACACTGCCAATACGGAGGATCCGAGTTTCCCATTTGTGCCTGTGCCACAACCTTGGCAACTTTGATCGTAATGCTTTTGATGAAGCCATTACTTGCTATCTTTTTCAGGTGATTGGAGAAATAAAGGAATATGCCAATGAGTTATTATAAGGGTGCAGTTTTATTCAGAAAAGAAACTACAAAAATCTGTTCAGTGGTATTGTTGTGATTTTTTTTTTTTTTTCACAGTAGAGAAATGGTTATATCAGTTTTCAGTACATTATTCCTATGAAAATTATGTTGGAATCCAACCGTTTTGTCATAATATGCAGGTTATCGCATACTCAGATTTTGTTTTACATCACTGGTGCTGTGGGGGCTGGCTTAGCATTCCTGCAGTTGTAATTGGACTTCCTTTCAATGATGTGCTTAATACATCTTTGAAAGATTAGTTGAATAGCAAGTGTGTCGCAAATCATGGTATCCTGAAAAGCATTAAACCTCATCAAGTGTTTGAAGTTATTGCATTTCATGTTTAACAACAGTCATGCTCGCTAGTTAACATGCTGAGAATTTTTTCCTGTTAAGTACAGTACTTGGTTTCCAAGCTGTCTGAATATGAGAATTCCTTGGTTCTTTCAAGTACTCTCAGAAGACTTGAGGAGTCCTGGGAACTCCCATGTTTTCCACTATATCTGTTATGAACTTTATTTAATTGTTATATATTACTGCTCCTTTGCAGGCACAAGCTGCAGTGGCTGCTCTGAAAAAACAAAAGAGAAAGGAAAAGAAAAAGAAGAAGAAAGAAAGAGAAGCAATGGAAAACAGCAACATGGACACAACAGTAGATGCAGAGGAGGAAGAAGCACCACCTCCAAAAAAGAAGAAAAAGAAACATGCAGCAGAAGAAGATGCTGATGAAACAGTAGAGCCTAGCTGTAATGGCGATACTGACGGAGAACTGAAGAAGCCGAAGAAAAAGAAGAAAAAATCCAAGGGAGAGTGAATGAGGCCAAATTTCTGTACAGAAGTTCAGGTGTCAAAAAGTAAATGCATATTTTACTTTTTACAGGAATGATATTTCTGTGTTATTGGCAATCTGCTGCTTTTGAGCGTAGTTGCTGGGGCTACTACTATCTTATGAAGCTCTTTGTCATCCCACGCGGGCACTTTTACTATAGAGAAAGTAGTGAGGTAATTTGCAAAGGTGTTCAAATAGCGAATTTCCACTTGAATACCACTCAACTGGTTCTCAGATAGTAAGCTAACCATTTTCAAAACAGCCTGAGAATTCCACGGTATTTTATTTAAACCAATATTCACAAGCTTTATCAATAAAACATTACAATTATTTTTGCCTACAGAGATACCTCAGTTACAAAAAATGATGCAAGCTCGTATACAGCAGTCACAAGGAAAAATATACAAAGGAAAACGTAAGCGCTGCTCGAGTCCGGTACTGGATGTCTGACAGCAAAGCTCCTTGTACTGTCCATCCAAATGTTTTCACTGCACATCTCGTTTACACAGTCAATCTTGCCAGTGGTCACCTTTCAAAAGGCATGAGATCCTATGAGCACGGTGATGTCCTCTTCTCGCCACGTATCTGCTTGATATACATCAGCTACATGGCACTTCATTTAGAGGAGTGCCTATGCTCTTGTCCGTTGCAAAGTGGGCACACTTAGTTGACCAACACTGTTCAACAAACTTGTAAGAGCTGCAGCTGATGGAATGTGTTCCGTGCCATTCGTGCTTTCTAACGCTACACTTTCACATGATTAGTGACTAAGTTGCAGCCAACCTTCCTCCCACAACTCCACCTTTAAGCAAATAAAGGTCCTTTGCTTGACGCGGTCTGTCTTTGGAACTCTTTGCCCCACTAGTAACGTGCTGGCCTTTTGTCGGTTCATGACAGCCAGATCATCTGGCAAAGCAGCACATCATAACACGATTTAGTACGACTATTTATTGATTCCGTGATACTCCGAGGCCTTCCAAAGCGTTAGCTCAGAACTTCACGTCCTGTAGTGCGCGAAGCTTGGCAACCTCTGTCGAGCTCATCACAGGACTTAATGGCAAAAGATGATCCTCGTTTCATTGTGGAGATCTCTCCGTCCGAATCGATCCGTGAGCGTTTACCAATTAGGTATCACAAGTCGGTATCACAAACACAGTGCCTCAATACTGTATTTCAGGCCATTGACTGCATCGACTGCCCCTTTGAACTAAGAAGTGGTTCAATATAACCTGCACTTTGGTGGTACAAGGGAGAAGATACTGTTCCATAAAGAAAGCACTGCTGCCCCATTTTGTCTTAATATACAGCAGTATTATTGAAACGGTGACAAGGAGTTGTGTGACACATTATTCGCTGCCGAAAAGCCCCCGCTGGAACCTCGCGCTGACGTGCTATGCAGTGAAGGTGAGGCAAAGGTAGGTTTCTTACGAACTTGTGGTTGTTCAGTTGGAAAATTATTTTCATCCTTGAAACAACAATCACTCTTTTGAAACTTTCTACTTATCTTACTGACAAACTATACTATGCAGCAACATAAAAGCCACATGTTTACTTGGGTCACTAACTGCATTGCGAAAATTAAGTCGTAATACGAGTTGGTGTGGTTTTTCCCAACTTTGCCACAATACTTGAGCAATATTTTTGCTTCCTTTGTTCTCGAAGTATTTTAATCACTTAATGTAGGATTGTAAGAAGCAGAAAATGTAATTATATTACTGGTGGAAAAGTATGTGCTTTTTACTAAAAAATGCTAAACATGCTGCATCACCACGATCAGCCTGACTATGACCACTGCAGGGCAAAGGCCTCTCCCATGACCCGCCAACCAACCCAGTCTTGTGCTTTCCGTTGCCACGTTATATCTGCAAACTTTTTAATGTAATCGGCCCACCTAACTTTCTGTCTCCCCTTTGTGCGTTTGCCTTCTCTGAGAATTTAGTCAGTTACCCTTAATAACCATTGGTCAACCTGCCTACGTGCTACGTGTCTGGCCCATTTCTTTTTCTTGATTTCAACTATGATATCCTTAACTCTGGTTTGTTCCCTGACCTACTCTGCTGTCTTCTTTTCTCTTAAGGTTATACCTATCATTTCCCTTTCCATTACTCGCTGTGTCGTCCTCAATTTAAGCTGCAACCTTTTTGTAAGCCTCCAGGTTTATGCTCCGTTGGTAAGTACTGACAAGATGCAGCTGTTAGAAACCTTCCTCTTGAGGGATTGCGGCAATCTACCAGTCATAATTTGAGAGTGCTTGCCAAATGTGCTCCACCCCATTCTTATTCTTCTAGTTACTTCAATCTCGTGGTTCGGCTCCACGGTTATTACCTCTGTTAACTAGACATATTCCTTTACAACTTCCAGCGCCTCTCCACGTATCACAAAGTGCTGTTTTCTGCAGAGATTGTTGCACGTTAGTTTAGCTTTCTGCATAATAATTTTCAGACCTACTTTTCTGATTTCCGTGTCCAGTTCAGTAATCGTGAACTGTAATTCGTCCCCCGAGTTACTCATCAAGGCAATGTTATCAGCAAATCGCAGGTTACTAAGGTACTCTCAATTAACTCGCCCCTAACTCTTCCCAGTGTAGGGTCCTGAATACCTGCTGTAAGCACGCGGTGAATAACATTTGAGAGATCATGTCTCCCTGTCTTACACCCTTCTTTATTGGGATCCTTTCACTTTCCTTATGGAGAACTATGGTGACTGTGGTCCTCTGTAGATTTCTTCCAGTATGTTTATATAGGGTTCTTCGATGCCCTGATTCCGTAGTGCCTGCATTACTGCTGATGTCTCGACTGAGTCAAACGCCTTCTCGTAATCTATAAAAGCTTGTATAGTGGTTGCTTGTATTCAGCGCATTTCTCTATTACATGATTAACAGTATGAATATGGTCTATTATAGAGTGGCCGGTACGAAATCCTGCTTGGTCCTTTGGCTAATTGAACTGCCCCAGAGAAGGCACTTAAGCTCGCACCGATGATGGGTGGTGGGCTCAGCGCTGCCACATCCACGACACCTTTTTGCCTGCGGCTGTGGACAAACGTCCGATCGGTGGCCTAGTCCTCCGCACGCGTAACACGTTTCATATTGCTTCTTGTACAGTACGCGGCGGTATTCACAACTCCTGTAGTACACGTAACGTGGTACATACGTGCCCTGGAATATAATGATCGCGTGATTGGTGCGACCCATCCTCTTGGCGTGTAATATGCCGGAGTTCCTCTCGTTCACTATAGCTTTTCTTAGTATCTTTGGAGTCATCGTAGTCCGGTATCCCTTATATTATTCCCTTCGACGTATGTTCCGACGTGGTTATGTATGCGGTGACTTCGTACGTTCTGTCTCCTATGCGGAATGCCTTCATCGCAGTGTATTTTCTTCTCTTGCGAGCACCTGTGTACTTACTACAATGATGTTCCGCCACTCGTTGATGCGAATTGAGTCCTTTATCACTTCTTTGGGCGTCAGCCCAGTTGCTCTCAGCATGCAGTTGCCTATCTAGGCAATGCTGTATCCAGCTGTGTTAAAGCCATCCTTGAATTCGGTCGGATAATGACCTTGATGTCTTCTTTTGGAAGGTGAGTCTTCTTTGGGGCCGCGTTCACCTTCTGTATGTTCCTAGACGCTCGTCTCTTATGGTCCTCCGCGTCTTCTGACGCGGCATCCCTTGCCTGCCTGCGGTAATGTCCGCGTCTGTTGCCCTATTATCCTTCTTACGTGCATGGATCGTTATCCAGCCTTGTTATTCTAGAGTTTCCTTTCCAGAGATGTCGTCTCCGTCCTTTTGATCGACGTCCTTTGTTTTAGGCTGTGAGGCGAGTCATGGAGTCGGTTGAAGTAATGGCGTCGCCTGGTCATTGTTAGGGTTAGCACTGCCATCAGCGTTGCACGAACGGAGAGTAGGTGTAGCGGCCAAGAATTGGCTTTCCTGAATAAACTGAAGCTGTCGGTAAGGATCGTTGACCTTTCCAGATCGTTGCTGATAACTTCACTTTCCTAAGGTTCGTAGTTTCGCTACTATCCTTGAAAGTTGGCGGAGTTCCCAGTGCGTCTCTTCGACTCCCTAGCGGCGAATTCCCAGTGACACGCTATGAGATTTTTTTTTTTCGTAAATTATGCCGCACGTTGGCAAGAGGATTTCGCACGCGCTATTTTTCAGGCACTCTTTCTCGCAGCCATGGTACAGTTGCACTGTGACTTTTGATATCAATGTATTACTCCAACCTTAGAGGTTTTATCGTGCAATGTGGGAGGGTAAAGTAGTCATTAAGAAATTTTGATAGACAGATATGTGGGGTGTGATGCCCCCAAACTACCATGTGAGACGCCGTAGTGGAGGGTTCCGGGAATTTTGACCACCTCGGGTTCTTTGACATGCACCCAAATTTGCGCACACGGGCCTACAGCATTTTCGCCTCCATCAGAAATGCAGCCGCCGCAGCCGGGATTCGATCCCGGGACCTGCTGGTCAGCAGCCGAGTGCCTTAGCCACAAGACCACCGCGATGGGGCGTGCAGCGGTACAATCGTGTACCAATTGTACCAATCGAAAATGCACCTGGAACAAGACTTTACCTACTCACATAGAAACAGCTTGTTCACTGCGTGTATGCGCTAGAAAACTTACTATACGCACACAAACGCGTAATATTCTTGTTCTTTTTTTTTTTTTGCTTTATTCGCTGATCTGCTCCCTGAAACGATAGCGTTTCGGCAAATTGTCTTCCGTTGTTTGCAAACGTGCAGCCGTCATTTCTCTGTACGTCAACAAATTAAGAACCGTACAAAATATTTCACCGCACAGCATCGATATGCCATGAGATATGCCATGTATACACTGTTCTAAAAAGTACACGCATCCATGTTTGCAGCACTTTTTACGCCGGCGCGAACAGGAGCAGCCTCGTACCGCACAAAATCTCGAGTGATCGATTCACTATAGTGATGAAGGAATGATCTCCAGTCTCATTCAGAGCATATAACACCACAATCAATTTCTCAGAACGCGTGATCACCGACGAGAGCTGCTAGCGCATGCAACACGAGTGTACTTA